GGAGGCCGCCCCTGGGCAGCCTGGCCCCCTCTCCCCCCCCTCCGGCCGGGGCCTGGGGACCCCAGTGCGCAACGCAGGGCGCCCCCTCCTCATTCACCCACGTGCACCTGCTAAGTAGGCCACCCAGGCCCCACGGGAGGGGGCGCCCCTGGGTGCACACAACGACGGGGTGTCTTCGCAGGCCCGCCTGCACATGCAGCGCCAGCAAGGACCGCATTTTGTTGTTATTTTGTTATTTTGGTTTTGGTTTTTGAATGTGTTCAGGCCACTGCCTCTGCTTGTTTTTGTTGTTTTCATTGATGTCAGAGAGGAAGGGAGAGGGGGAGAGAGAGAAACATCAATGAGGAGAGAGAATCATGGGTCGGCTGCCTCCTGCACGCCCCCTGCTGGGGATCAAGCCCGCTACCCGGGCAGGTGCCGTTGGCCAGAATCGAACCCGGGACCCTTCGGTCTGCAGGCCGGCACTCTATCCACTGAGCAACACCAGCCAGGGCGAGGACTACGCTTTGGACACACAGTGGCGGGTGCACGGGAGGCCTGGGGAGCCACAAGGCCAGAGGCCCGGGGACCATGAGACACAGCCAACATGTCAGAGCTGGGGCAGGAGGGGAGCGGGTGATGGCACGCAGGGGACTTGTCATACGCCAGGTGATGGCCACTGAGCCACACTTTCTAGACGGAGAGGCAGCAAGCCAGCCAAGGGGGGGTTTTGGGGGGGGCATGACAGGCCCCCCTGGTGCTGGCCAGTGAGGCCACGTCACAGGCCCCTCTCTCTGTTCTGCTCCTTCCTCCCCAGGCTCTGGGGAGAGGACACGAGGAAACGTCTCCGGGAGAACCTTCCACGGCCTGTGGGGGGCCGGACACCCTTGCGGACACCTTCTGGAGGCTTCTCCCACCGGGGTTCCCACCCAGGACGCCCGGCCGCTGTTTGTCACCGGGACAGGGCAGTTGCTTCCGACTCGATTCTCACAAAAGGTAGGAGGGGAGGAAGCGGAATGCGGTTTGCAAAAGGGTGAGTCATGACAGGTCCAAGCCCAAGGCCAAACCTCAGGAACTCACAGCAGAATTTAGGCTCAAGAGCCTGAAAGGAAACTGGGTTACGCCCGCGTTGAATGTTCCTGCCCAAGGTGGGGGGTTCCTTGGGCAAGACAACCAGGTCTAGTACATCGCCAGGACATCATAAGGGACGGGGAGAGGGGGCGGGGGGCAGGGAGGGGGAAATGTATACATTAGCCTAACGTGTTGTCATAGCTCGTCACACCCAGACATTTCGGCTTCTCGGTTCCTGCGCTGGTCGAATGGGAATAATGACTTGTCTGTCACGCGGACAGCGCCGTGTGCAAGTCAGAAAGGGCTGCTGCTTTTATCTGATCTTTTCAGAAACGATTCTGTGGATTTCGGTTTCAGTTAGGCAAACGGCACCGCACACATTTCCCCCCCAAATAAAACTCCTTTCTACCCAAGGAGTTACCGTACTGCAGACACATTCTGCGAACTGAAAAACCACTTCTGCTCCCAGGGTTACTAAATGGCTAGAACTTCTCCTTTCATTATAATGAATTCTCCTCCCCAGAGAAGGAACCCTACCTGGGATGCCTCCATGAGGAGTTGTTTTTTATCTGTGGTGCGGAAATGTTAATATATAGGTTTCTCCCACCCGTGTGCTGGGATGTGAGCGACAGTTATACCTCTGCAGAATCATGGTTACTTTTTAAAATTTATTTAAGTATATAAAAGGAAAATACTATATATGCACACACCAAATCTATATGTGTGTGTGTGTGTGTGTGTGTGTGTATATTGATTTCAGAGAGGAAGGGAGAGGGACAGAGAGATAGAAACATCCATGATGAGAGAGAATCATGGATCAGCTGCCTCCTGCACACCTGCACGGAGGTTCCAGCCCACAACCCAGGCATGTGATGTGCCCTGACCAGGAATCGAACCCTGACCTCCTGGTTCATACATCAACACTCAACCACTGAGCCACGCCGGCTGGGCCCAAACAAATCTATTTAAAGCAGCCTTGAAGCTGACCATACGCAAGAGATTCCTTTATCTATTCTGGTATGACTGAGATAAAAGGGACACACCCATTTACGGACACAATTTGCATGATTTGTTACAGATTACCGAAAAAGAGAATTCTGTAGACACTGATCTTGGGGACATGTCTATTTAAACCAGGGGTGGGGAACCTTTTTTCCGCCAAAGTCCATCTGCATATTTATAGCATCAGTCCTGGGCCGTACAAAATTATCAACTTAAAATTAGCCTGGCCCGGCTGATGAGGCTCAGTCACTCAGCATCGACCTATGAACCAGGAGGTCACAGTTCAATTCCCGGTCAGGGCACAGGCCCGGGTTTCGGGCTCCATCCCCAGTAGGGGGCGTGCAGGAGGCAGCCGATCCATGTTTCCCTCTCACATCGATGTTTCTCTCTCTCTTTCTCTCTCTCTCTAAAATTCAATAAAACCTGTTTAAAAAGGTAGCCTTCCAGTTTGAAGACAAAAGGGCTGAGATCCCTCTCACCATCTTTCTCCCCTGAATATATCCAACTCTTTCTAAAATTCAAGGGGAAAGTAATATCTGTGTCTTTGGCTGCTAAACTTTCCGTGAGAAAGGATAGCGCAGTTCTCAAAGACAACCCAGCCGCCATGTCCTGTCCCCGCACCCCCACCACCTTTCCAGGTGACTTGCCCCAAAATTAAGGAATCAAGCTCTTACCTCTGACCCGCATCTCCTGGTCGGCCTTGCTCCTTGCTCCCCAACCTGCCAGACATCGGGAAGCTTAAGACAGTCCTGAGTTAAGCAAAACGGTCAGAAGCAGAGTAGCGCGGGCGGACTGTATCGGAGAAGTCCGGTTCTCTTCCCGGACACCTTGAGGAGGCTCACCTGGGCGCCAGGCACAGGGCGGAGTGTGTGTGTGTCCCCTGTGTCACCGCCTGGGACAGAGCCTCCCAACCCCGCCCACCAGACACTCCCGTAAATTAAAAACATCTCCACGGTAGGCCAGCTCGGCTCACACCCATCCATCCTCTAAAGAGAGTGAGTCATCACGTCCAATTCTCAGTGACGTCAGAATGTATTGGAGGGATGCCTGGCTGGTGTGGCTCAGTGGAGCCTGCAACCCAGGTACGTGCCCTTGACCGGAATCGAACCCGGGACCCTTCAGGCCACAGGCCAACGCTCTATCCACTGAGCCGAACCGGCCAGGGTGGAAGGAAGGTTTTTGAATCAAGTGGCCTGCTGTGGAGGTAGAAACAGCCGACCCCAGCCAGCCAGCTGGCAAAGCCAGGCTGTGAGCACAGAGAAAAGGAAAAAGGCTCAGTGTTTGTGTCGCTCTGTCACCCATGCACGCAGGCCTCACGTACAAACCAGAAAGACAGGCCTGGCCTCGTTGGCGTGCGGCCTTTTCATAGCCGCGATGTTGTCAAGCGCTTTACGATCGTGTTTTATAAGCTGGGTTTCCATCATCCGTGACATATAGATTAGTAGGTGAAACAGGTTACCATACCTGGCAAAGCAGGAAGCTAATTCTCTAGGGATATCTTACCCCAAGAATGCACTGCCCCCCCCCCCCTGCCGTGTGTGCCACAGGCCCTAGGAAACGGGTCAGCCTGCGAAATTCTACTGAGACATCAAAGCCATTATCTTCATAAAGCCCATAAGTCAGTCTCTCTCTCTCTCTCTCTCTCTCTCTCTCGTCTTTCTCACTCAACAAATGTGAGCAAGACTCAAGCGGGTCCCTGTTTCAATTCCAATGATTTATTGTAATATGGCCTCCCCCTCATTGATGCGTTTAAAATATCCAAATTACAATCATGTTAGATATTTCTGTAGTCATCCCTTTCTTTAAAAATCCTTTGTAGCCCAGCCGGCATGGCTCAGTGGTTGAGCGTCAACCGATGAACCAGGAGGTCGGGGTTCGATTCCCGGTCAGGGCACATGCCCGGGTTGTGGGCTCGATCCCTAGTGTGGGGCGTGCAGGAGGCAGCCGATCCATGATTCTCTCTCATCATTGACATTCCTCTCTCTCTCCCTCTCCCTTCCTCTCTGAAATCAATAAAAACATATTTTTTTAAAAAAAAAAGACACTCACTGAACCCACATATGCAGCAACTGGGGTCCTGTTCAGTCAGGGACCCAGAGGCACCAAAAAGTCCCAGGAAGCAAAACCTGTGCCCTTACCGCCCAGCACGGCTCAAGTTGTTGAAACTGCTTAGAATTTCGACATTATGCTTCTGTTTGGAGGTTCAGGGCTAGTCACAGCGGTGCTCCCCTGTCAAATGACCGAGCAGGAGGGGACCCCAATTGCACACCCAGGAAGAGGGGCGTGGGCAGGAGGGAGAGTGCCCTGTCATGGTAGTGCCTGAGGCCAGCAAGTTGCCTTTGCTGAGAGGCCGGGGAACCTATTGCAAGGAGGAGTCGGGGGCAGGTACACCCCGAGTTCCTTCTCCTTCCTTCCTTCCACCTCCTGCTGCGGGACCAGGGTTCGAGTCCACCACAAAGCCCGCCGGCCCAGAGGCTGAGCCGGTGCGGCCCGTCCACGTGGCTCCCCGGGGGCAGACAGCAGAGAGGAAGGCGGACACGTGGTCTGAAGGAGCCACACGGACACTCAGCCCCTAATGCCTTTTGTGTTTGCGACATGTTCCACGACCTCTGACCTCTTCCAAGCAGACCAGCTAGCAGTCCTAAACTCGGAGCAAGAACACGGGAGCAGGAGCCACCCCCCCCCCCCCCCCCCCCCCGGGCTCCCTCCTCTGTCCCTCAGCTTCACGGTGGGCCTGGAGGGGGAACATGAAAAGGAGGAACACCGTGGTGCGTGCTGACTCACATGCTGCTCCTGCCAGGCCGTCCCTGGGTGAGGGGGAGGCCGTCCTTCCTCTTTCCTCCGCAGCCCTGCCTCCCACACACTCCATCTGACTCACCTAGAGCACCCCGGCCAGACACCCGGCTGCCCGCGGCTCTCCGCGCTTCCTCTCCTCCTGGGTGACAATGAGACAGTGAGACTGTGTCCCCAGGCTGGCCTCCAGCCCTGGTGTCCCTCTCTCTCCCATGGAAATGGTTCTCTCTGTAATGTTCCTGGAGCTGAAAGCATGACGCCACTCTGTCCCTCCGACTGTCACCTCACAAGGAAGGAAGGGGGGGCATGAGGGAGGCTGTCATTGAAACAGAGGTGCCCTAGCTGTTTGGCTCAGTGGATAGAGCCTCGGCCTGCGGACCAAAGGGTCCCCGCGGTCGATTCCAGTCAAGGGCACAGGCCCGGGTTGCAGGCTGGATCCCCAGTGGGGGGCGTGCAGGAGGCAGCCGATCCATGATTCTCTCTCATCATGGATGTTTCTCTCTCTCCCTCTTCCTTCCTCTCTGAGATCAACAAAAATACATTTAAATATATAATATATTGAAGAAACATGTATAATTAGCATAAAGAGTCAGAAATGAAAAGAGAAAGAGAATAGACCAAAAAACTAGACTGTCGAGCCAGGAGCTGCAGCCTGTGAACGAGAGAACAAAGAGGCAGAGAGAAGGTACCATCAAAGGAATAGCAAGAGGAGGTTTCCTGGAACGAAAGGGCCTGGGTCAGAGGTTCAGAGCTGAGAGGGCCCCTCCCAAGTCACGGAACGGAAAGAGATGCGTGCCACGTTGTCACGGTGATTCGGAACACCCGGGTTACCGTGAAGAGCCTGGAAGCTTTCAGGGATCAACAGACAAACAAAAACAAACAAACAAAATCAAACCACGTAAAATAGACAGGATCCTCCCGCCGGCGTCCCCGGAAGTTGGAAGACTATGGGGGAAAAATTCCAAGGAAATGATTCCCAATCTAAAATTCCATACTCAAAAAGGCAAATCCAGAAATGTCAGGCAAAGCCTAATGTTTAGACTTTGGTAGCTATTCTATATAATAAAAGCCTAATATGCAAAGTGTCCGACCGTTCGACCAGTCGCTATGACGCGCACTGACCACTAGGGGGGCAGACACTCCAACCGGTAGGATAGCTTGCTGCTGGGGTCCGGCCGATCGGGACTGGACAAGATGGGCTGGACACACCCTGGAGATTTCCCTCGGTCCCTCCCCGGCCCCAATCGTGCACCAGTGGGGTCCCTCGGCCTGGCCTGCGGGGATCGGGCTGCAACTGGCTCTCCGACATCCCCTGAGGGGTCCTGGATTGCGAGAGGGCGCAGACCAGACCAAGGGACCCCACCGGTGCAAGAATCCGTGCACCGGGCCTGTAGTTACAAAATAAAACAGTTCAAGGAGAGGGGCAGCAAAAACTATCCCCCCTCTAGGTCCCAAAGGAGGAAGACTGGGGTGATCCAAACTCAGGAGAGAGAGACTAGAGAGAGCTTTGACCTTCAGGAGAGGGACCCAGGCAGCTCAAGGTATCGCACGGGGGAGGAGTCAGGGTAACCACATCCATCTCCTCCTCTGGTCTCTGGTAAGGGATTCCCATGGACCAAACCCCGCAAGAAGCCAGAGGATGGAGGTGCTTATGGATTTAACCCGCTGAAGCCCAGCCTCCCACAGCAGACAGCAGGGCAGGGTGGGGGAGGGCGGGGAGTGGTGTGAGGGGCAAATGGAAGAGTTCAGAATCCTGAGAACTGACCCCAGTTAGGAAGTAGCTTCCACTGTGTGCGTCGTGCACACAAGTCTTTTTTTTTTTAATTGTCATTATTTTATTGATTTCAGAGAGGAAGGGAGATAGAAACATCAATGATGAGAGAGAATCATGGATCGCCTGCCTCCTGCACACCCCACACTAGGGATCGAGCCCGCAACCCGGGCATGTGCCCTTGACCGGAATCAAACCTGGGATCCTTCAGTCCACAGGCCAACGCTCTGTCCACTGAACCAACCCAGCCAGGGTGGGAACACAAGTCTCAATGCAGAGTTTCTCTCCTAAGGAGCCGTGTCTCTCTACGGGAACGTTCTCCGAGGGGTATCCAGGCGGGGGCGGGTGTAAGGGAGCCTGAGTCCAGCTTTTCAGTTCCCACTCAAGTTGTGAAAGTGAATGAAGTTAAATCTACTTCTTTATGACCCCTTCCCCCCAACCCTGCAACCCTCCCCCCAAAAGATAGTTGGTTTGATTTTAAAAGGAAGTGAGTTGTCCGAAGGCATCTTCTTTGTCATCTTCTGCCCTTGACAAGCAGGCTGCAGCCCAGCTACTGAGGGGCCCTGAGGGGGTGGGGAGAGAGGGAGGATGGGAGGTGCTGACCCATAAGGACATATGGACACAGGGAGGCAGCTCTGGCCAGGGGACCGTTAGATGGTGAATATGGAGTCTTGAGGGCCATTCAAGGGTTTCGTTGAGGCCAGGGGACACTGAGGTCACCCCAAAAGCTCTCCGAAGACCCAGGGGGCCATTAGCTCCTGTCTGAGCGGGGAGACTCTTTGCAGACAGAGGTGAGAAACCACAGGGAGGAAACCACCCCTCAGCCCGCCCACCAGTCACCACTGGTGTCTTTGTTCCCTAGCAACGTGCCCTAGCAACAGGGGACTTTTACTTCTGTGCCGGCAGCTGGAAATCAGCCCCGGGTTGGTCAATGTGTCTCCCAACCTTCCCCTTTATTGAATTGGGACATCCTCCTCTCTCTCTCTCTCTCTCTCTCTCGCTCACTCTTTTTTTTAAAAAATATATTTTTATTGATTTCAGAGAGGAAGGGAGAGGGATAGAGAGAAACATCAATGATGAGAGAGAGTCATGGATCGGCTGCCTCCTGCACACGCTCCCCACTGGGGACCGAGCCCACAACCCGGGCATGTGCCCTTGACCGGAATCGAAGCCAAGACCCTTCAGTCCGCAGGCCGACGCTCTATCCACTGAGCCACACCAGCCAGGGCACCCTCTCCCGCTGCCTGGAGCAGTAGTGCGACTGCTCCGTTGTCTGT